AACAGCCCAGTCGAATCCAAGGCCCCTGCAGCATTTGTTTGCGGGTTTCAACAAGGGGTTGTTAGGGGCTTAGGGATTATAGGATTTGGGGATCAAGGGGGCGCCACTTTTTAGGTTGCCATAAAGCAGGGTGTTGAAGTTTTTGCAGGGTGGCGATTGGTGTATGGTCTTCTAGGGTCATTACACAGTGTTGTCAGTCAGGCATTGCCATCGGCTCGGCGCATTAACAGCACTAACCGTAAAGCTGTCATAGAACCTGAAAATCATGTATGTCTTAGAAGGGGACCCCACCCTGTAATAGTGGCATAATAGGAATATAATAAAGGCCCTAATATAATCCTTATAGTCACTATTACAGGGTGGGGGCCCCTTCTAATGTATCTCTTATGTAAAGCCCTAAAGCCCCGAGCCCTAGACGACCCAGCAAAAGCCTTACTTAAAGGCTCATGGGACTTAGTAAGTAAGGTTATAACAATTATAACCTACTTACTAAGTCCCCTGATCCTCTCAGTAGACGACCCAGCAAAACCCTTAACCCCTGCAGGAGGGCACCGCAGGCATTGGCCTGGCATACGGAGCATACGTGGCAAGTCCCTGCATTCCTACTCTAGGGGCCTTAATCATTACCTATACTACTTTGGGGGCTCCTGATGATACTTATAGCATAATATAAGCCAAAACCTTATTTTGATTATTAAGGCCCTTACATGACACGATGCCATGCGCGACCCTTTCAAGGACCCGACAATGTCTCTCAGGCATTGTTGGGAGCTGTGCTGCTCTAGACTCTAGGTGCTTATACCCAGTACGGATTTCATAAGGTTTCCGTCAGAAGGGTCTGCCCAAACCCCCGGGAGGATCCAAAAAGTAGATCCCTTAATGGGGGTTCCTACACAGTACCCTTAGCAGTAGAGGGCCCCAAATTAGGGGATCTACTTTCTAGATCCTCCCGGGGGTCTGGGTGTTAGGATTCGGATCGGGAGACTTTGCCTTCTGGTTGGACTTGAGCCTTCAGGGCTTTGAGGGTTTGGCTTTGAGGGTGCGCAGGGCCCAGGGTTTCAAGGCTTTGCGGCTTCGGGTTCGGCGTTTCAGGGTTCAGTGTTTATAGGGTTCACTCAGGGGTACTTAGAATTACTTTTCAATTTTTGGTTATTATAATCCCTAAGAAACAGCTAAAATTATAATTTTTGCTAGGGTTCTAAGTTCAGTATGGTTTCAGGGTTCAGTGTTTAGAGGGATCAGGGTTGAGGGTTTAGATGGCTTAGTCACGAAGATGAGCAAGTATGGCTACAAGCACGGTAGCCGGAGTTGCAGCTACTCGTGGCCCCGACTAGGGTACCTGCAGCCGAGCTAGTGAAACCACAGAACCAGCACCCTTCCTAACAAACCCGCCTGAGACACTTACACAGAACTTACACAAGCACGAACAAGTCTAAACCCCAAGCCGAAGCTACCTGTACTCTAGACCCATAGACCCTGAACCCCAAACCCCTAAACCCTACTCCCTAAGCCCTAAACCCTAAAACCCTAAAACCCTAAACCCTAAACCCTCTAGGTCCCTTTAAAGAGCCCTTATAGATCCCTTTAAAGAAACCCTTATAGATCCCTTTAAAGGAACCCTTATAAATGCCTTTAAAGGAGCCCCAAGCAGCCCCAGGTCAGTTTGTACCCTGCGAAGCGATGCCGCGACGGTCCGGGCCTGAAAAGCACCTCCGAGTTTGAAGGGCCCTGCTAGAAAGTGAGGGTTTAGGGTTTTAGGGGGTTCGTGGCTAGGGTTTATGGGTTTAGGGGTTTAGGGGTTTAGGGGTTTAGGGTTTAGGGGGGGGCTCAATAATTAGAAGTAGGGCTCCCTTTTCAAGGGGTCTATAAGGGTACTATAATATAGGGGGCCCTGATAGAAACTGTGGACTCTTCAGGGTTCCGTGTTAAAGGAACCCTCAAAGGAACCCGTAAAGGACTATCAAAGGAGCCTTTAAAGAGATCTTTAAAGGATTCCTCAAAGGAACACTTACAGGGATCCTTCAAGGGTCCGTTACAGGGGTCACTTCAAGGATCCTTTGGGGTAGCCGCTAAGGGGACCCCTTAGGGGTTCCCGCTAGGAACTCGTAGAACTTAGAAGAACTTTCGATAGAGCCTTGAATGGGGGTTTCCGAAAAGAGGGGACCCTAATTATAGTAATTACCCTAAATAGTAGGATCTGTACTATAAGGACCCCAAGATAAGGTACCCCTATTTTCGGAAACTTCCACATGGAGTGCTTGAAGGCAAAGGGTTTCCTTCGGCGAGACGGAGACGGATCGGTTTACTCATCTTCCTCTTCACTTGTCCATGTGGGTAGTTGTCAAAATTAGGGTCCCTTTTCGTTCACCCTAAATATTAGGTGCCGTACTATATTAAGGACCCCCAAACCCTAAATTTGACAACTACCCATGTTCATGTTCAACAATTGTTGCACAAGCTATTCTTTGACCGAGGGGGTTACAAGCTTTGTTTTTTTGCTTTCTCAAGGGTTTTCGCAACTTTTGGGTCGTGGAGTTAGGGGCTTGAGGGTCATGAATCTGAGGCGTTATTGCAGGGGTTAGCGGGTTTTTAGGAGTTTAGGACCTACATGGAGTAATTGGTTTCAGTTTTAGGGGCTCGGGGTTGGGGGTTCTCAGGTTGTTCGAAGGGGTTTCATTCTCCTTGGGGGCTTTTAGGATCTTGGATGCAGGAACCTGGATGACTAGAATTGTGTGTCGGGAGTACGATGCTGTCTACAATCGGTTTTGTGCCCAGGCTGAAATACCACGTAGCTGGTAGCACTGAGCCCACAACCCGGAAGGCAAGTTGGGTGGGGTTTCGGTGGAATTGAGGAGAGCCTTAGCTTGTTTTTTTTGGCATACTTCCAGCAACATTTGTATTTGCCTGTCTATCCGAGAAAGTTCGCAAACCATTCCGAAAACTCATTACAGAGATACATGAACAAGCCTACAGAACATAGAAGCCAAGATTCAACAGAGATGAATAAGCAAATGCATACATAATACATATGTGTACATGTGCATATAGGTTTAAATTGTAAACACTCAAGCCCACAACCTTAACCCTCTAAGCCCCTAAACCCCTAAACCCTAAACTCTAAACCCTAGCTAAACCCTGAATCCCTAAGCTCCAAACCCTTAAACCTTAAACCCTACACCCTAAACCCTAACCCTCCAACCCCGAGCTTTTCCGTCCTACAGCCAGGCGATGGAGACTCGCATGGATGACGTGAGAGAAAACGGGGGCCGTGCAGATTCTGGGGGGGAGTGTGGGGGGGGGGGGGGCAGGGTTTAGGGTTACCGTTTTAGCAGGTTTGTTAACACGATCTTCGGGTTTTTGGAGGCTTTATAAGGAGGTTTGTGAACTGAAACCTTCTAAAGCATTTCATCCTATCTCTGAAGGATGG